GTATCACTGTCTATCAAGAGCTGAGGAAGTTCAGGAGCTGAAATTCAGATATGCTAATGAGTGTTTGGTTTCTGACACGGTCGACCAATCACAACAGACTAGGACGTCAGACCAATCAGAGCAGAGCAGCTCTCAGAGAGGTGGGGTTTAGAGAGACTGAATCCTTGATGAACCGTTTCAGACACTGAGAGAAAAGAGCTGATGCTGCAATGGATATTATGAGGAAATGAGTGTTTTTTGAGCTTGGATGTGTGTAAACCTGTTGTAGGAGACGTCAAAATAACCTGTAAAACAGCATAAAAGGGGCACTTTAACTGTGAAACCACTGTATGTTTGGTAAGACTGCAAAAACTGGGAGAACTGGAAGAGAGGGCTACTCTCTGAGAAAACCTCAAACCTCCTCAAACATTGATCAACCGCTGATAACATAAACAGAACATCAGCTCAAGCTTACTGCGAATTATTCCCCGAACTTTCTTCATCAATCACCCCTGTGACCACTTTACCAGCGGCACGACTGATCTCCCTGGAAAAAAGAAGAAGATTAAAATCATTTAAATCCTGTAAAGACTGATTAGTTTCAATATAATCTCCAAACAAATTCACAGAGAAACATTTCAACACACATGGGAGACACAAACCTGTTCAGAACACCATTAGACACAAGGGCTTCTTTGGGATGGAAATATTTATAATAGACGTTCCTTATTACTGCATCTGCAAATCCAATGCAAAAAAAGTATACATTTCAGAATAATGTTTAAACTTGAACACACCTCTTCCCAGATGAACAAATAAATACAAATAATAATAATTCAAGATTTTAATGAGGCACAAAATAAAGAATGTGCCTCACACCATGCACCATGACACCATATTAAAGAAAAATAACTTTATAAAATAGTTCATTCATAGCATAATGTCATGATGCCAAGATATTTGGGGGAAAAAAATGTTCTCTATCTTGAGATCTTGACTTGAAAAATATGTTTGAACAAAATATATAGTTGTGTCTACGTAAATGTTTTTAATGTGTAAGGAAAATGTATTTTTATACCACCTGACATTAAATAAAATTCATTAAATCAAAACTTTTAAAATGGTGTAAATGTTTTTCAAATGTATATATGAATGTGTTCTTTGTGTGTGTATATATATATATATATGCATTATAAACTACAATCAAAATATTTTTAAAAAACAGCAATAACCATTTTCTAAATTAACGTACACATTTTGTTTTAGTTAATGAGACTATGATGTACAGGTGACATTAAAACCAAATCACACTTACCATTGTTTATCATAATGCCAAACTCTTCCAGGAGGAAGTTGATATTAGTGTCATATTTCATTTCTCCTCCTTCTCCGAGCATCACCAGAAGACCTCCACCACTGTCCAGATACTGCTTCAGAACCTCTAGCTGAAGCACACAGCAAACATACAGCAGTTTCACAGCGAAGCTTCTGCTGGTATCAGCTTGAACTCTTCCATATGTGTCTCAGAGTCTCACCTCAGCAGCAGTGAACTTCTCTCGAGGACCGGCAGTGATCCATAACTTCACTCCTTGGAGTTTCTCCAAGCTGAGCTCCTCTTTGATGCTGAGGAACATGTATAGTTTAGTATGGAAGATTGTTTCCGCCGTGAAATAAGATAAATAAAATCAATTCTGATTTTTTTTCTCTCACAATTGTGTTTATATCTCACAGTTGCAAGTTATGAACTTATAATTGTGTTTACATCTCACAATTCAGACTTTTCTTTCCTCAAAATTGCGAGATATAAACTGTACCTTTTTTAGTTTACATTTCATAACTTTTATGTTTTTCCTCGCAATTCTGAGTTACATCTCGCAATTCTGAGTTATATCTCGTAATTCTGAGTTATTATATAGCAATTCTGAGTGACATCTCGCAATTCTGAGTTATATCTCGTAATTCTGAGTTACATCTCGCAATTCTGAGTTATATCTCGTAATTCTGAGTTATTATATAGCAATTCTGAGTGACATCTCGCAATTCTGAGTTATATCTCGTAATTCTGAGTTACATCTCGCAATTCTGAGTTATATCTCGTAATTCTGAGTTATATCTCGTAATTCTGAGTTATATCTCGTAATTCTGAGTTATTATACAGCAATTCTGAGTGACATCTCGTAATTCTGAGTTACGCCTTGCGATTTTGAGAAACATCTATAATTCTGAGTTAGATCTCGCAATTCTGAGTTACATCTCGCAATTCTGAGTTATATCTCGTAATTCTGAGTTATTATATAGCAATTCTGAGTGACATCTCGCAATTCTGAGTTATATCTCGTAATTCTGAGTTACATCTCGCAATTCTGAGTTATATCTCGTAATTCTGAGTTATTATAAAGCAATTCTGAGTGACATCTCGCAATTCTGAGTTACATCTCGCAATTCTGAGTTATATCTCGTAATTCTGAGTTATTATACAGCAATTCTGAGTGACATCTCGTAATTCTGAGTTACACCTTGCGATTTTGAGAAACATCTATAATTCTGAGTTAGATCTCGTAATTCTGAGTTACATCTAGCAATTTTGAGTTACATTCACAATTCTGAGTTATACCTTGCAATTCTGAGTTTATACCTCACAATTCTAACTTTATATTTCACAATTCTAACTTTATATTTCACAATTCTAACTTTATTTCTCACAATTCTAACTTTATATTTCACAATTCTAACTTTATTTCTCACAATTCTAACTTTATATCTCACAATTCTAACTTTTTTCTCGTAATTTTGAGTTTACATCTCGTAATTCTGTTTATATCACACAATTTTTACTTTTTTTCTCAGAATTGTGACTTTATATCTCAAAACTTTACATCTGACTCCCCCCCCTCCCCTCCCCTCACAATTGTGAGGAAAAAATAGTCAGAATTGTGAGATAAAAAGTCACAACTGACTTTTGCAAAACAAGCTTCCATACTTCAGTAACATTGTTTTAGTCATGTAACGTTAGATTGGTCTAATTTGAATATGAAAAGTAAGACTGATCACCCCTTGGCAAAATGCTAGCTGGTCAAACTAGTTTATTAGGAGTTAATGGGAACATTCATTTCTAATGGGCATTTTATTAGCATATCTGCAAATCCAACAAAATGTCTGCATAATTCCTGTTTTGTGATATAAATGGGCACATCACCAATGCAGTGAATAAACCTCCTTAACACCTGTAAACATGTTTATATGAGCCATTTAAGAGATTTCACCTTTGAATCTTCCATTGTGCTCTTAATTTCTTCTGCAAGGACTTATATCCAGAGTTGGAGGTGAAGAGTTCTCGTTTGGACGCGTTGAAAACAACAATATTTCGTTGCTCTTTGTCCATGCTGGAATATGGATCACAATATTTACAGATGGACAGATTACTGTCTCTAATACACAAAGCACGATGCTTTCGTCGCTGTTTTCCTCACAGGCTGATGTATTTGATATTTCAATACATTATCGCCTCATGACAACCCCGACGTTGAACGACAGCAACAGGAAGAACTGCAAAATATACATAAACTGTAAATATTGTGCATTATCATGTCACCGTTATGAGCGGCTAAGCTAGCAAGCTAAAGCTAATAACTCTCGCTACACAACTGATCAAATCTGTTGAATAACGGGAGTCATAACGCTATGTCATTGTACAAAATGTAAATGCTTCTAAAAAACGAAAAAGGAATAAAAGTTACCACAGAATTCCCCAAAATGTGGTGGCCGTGAGCGATGCATTGTGGGTATTTATGGACAACACAAGCGTAACCAGGGGCGCTTCCTTCATAGCAACTGTGTTTGCGTACTTGTGTAAAATAAAACAGGATATTTTTTTAATTCATTTTTTAAAAGAGACCGAGACAAAGGATGCCCATTTCCGCCACATGAGAAAAGATCAGGGTTTTGTTAAATCGTAATTATGACATTTAAAACGTCGAAATTATGACATACCGAATCTTTTATATATTATTATATATTAGAACAAAGTGACCTGATAGGATGGGATGACGAAAATATAATTCAACTTACACGGATCAAATATCGGCATGAAATATTTGAGTTGAAATTATTTTATTTTACTTCTAGATTGGGAAAATAGTCAGTCAAGCAAAAAGTCGAACAACTGCACAATATTATTCGATATATTATTATTAATATGCGATCCAAGTTACTTTTTCTATTTACTAGAAGCTCTTTATTGTATCGTTCGTTGTTTTTCGGTTGCTGAGATACAGGTTCAATAAGTGCTGTCAAATCTATTAATCGCATGTAACGTTAACATTTTTTTGTTTATATGTGTATATCAGTGGATATATGTATGTGTTTACACACACACAAACACATATATAGCCTATAGTTTTTCACATAAACACTGACAGCACTAGTTCTAATTTTTTCATTAAGTCAGTTGCAGAAACTCTAAATAACCAGTCCCTTTCAAAACTGCTCATTACATTGATTGCTGACAGATATACGTTACATAATATTCTCATTTCTATGCTGTTTTTTTATTCCATAGTCTGAACTGTGTTCAACAGACAAGCTGTAGGAATTTTAGCACAGGAAGGCAGTGATTCTTTGAATTAATTTACCAAATGAAATAGCTAAATGTTGTGCCCTGGCCTAATGCTCTATGGAGCAGTAATCTCTTAAACAGACTACAGAAAACTGAGTGGAAAGCTAACTGAATGATTTATTGACTTACCCTGATTATGTATGGTGAGATTCCTCCAGATGTCACATACAAGTCACTTTCAAATAAACAACAGAACCCGTATGTGAACTTCACAGCCAGTCTGTCCATATAGATGTGGGCAGAGAGGTGAAGAATTATTTTCACCCCCGACTATGACAGTAATATTTTGAGGTTAAAGACTGGACATGTCTCGTACAGGCATGTGCATTTGCCTTAATTACACCTCATGTGAACAAAAACAAAACTGCTCTTATTTCGAGAAAGAAAAAAAGCAGCAACACTGGAAACCAATTAAATGTTTATTTAACTAAAACACTGGAAAATATCCAAAAATCCATTTAAAAATGAATCACAGAAATCACACTGCAAGTGATGCATTCAACTTCCTGTAAACAAAAATTCACAAAAACAATTCAAGATGAGCAAAAGCACTAACAGAAACAAAAAGCTTCCAGGAGAGAGATAAGAAAGAAAAAAAAGAAAATCAGCTCAGCAAGAGACAGGAATGAATCACTATACAGTGAGGAAGCACAGCCGACGTCTCAACTATCACATCTCGTTGACTACACCACAAAAGGACAGTTGCAAAAGTAACTCCAGTTTATAACGCATCGTTACAGCCTCTTCAAACCTCACGCTAAAGCAAAAATATCACAAGAGTATTTAAAGACGTCTCAAAGCAAAGCAAGTCGAATACAAACAATGGCCTGAGCAATGCTTACAAGCACAACAAATGACAAATTCTTATTTGACACGTCTCATGTAGGGGAGAAAAAAACATCTGGTACGCAGTTTTGTTTTCATGCAATGTTGAAAACGGCACGTTAATCAATACCACACCGGGCTCGGCCTTCTCAAGCATCTGGTGAATGTTCATAGGCTGTGCATGATCGATTAAACACTGAGCTGTGCATTAGATATTCCAGTTAGCGAGACGCTAGTCTTGAGAGGCAGACCTAGAGCGGGAACGAGACTTCGATCGAGACGCAGAGCGCTTGCTGGGCGACTCCGACTGACGACGGCTCTCTTTAGGGGACGGTGAACGAGAGGTGGATTTGGCCCGGTCTCCGTTTCCATTCTCCATCGGTGAAGCAGAGCGGCTTCGGGACTTCTTACTGACGGACTTCTCCTTGGAGCGGCTTCTGGAATCTCTCTCTGACTTCGCTTTGGAGCGACTCTTGGAGCGGGATTTGCGCGCGTCAGAACGAGAGCGGGATTTCTGCGTACGCGAGCGGGACCGAGACTTCGACTTCCTGGAGCGGGACTTTGATGGGGATTTGGAGTGAGATTTCCTCCCAGAGCTGGAGCGGGACTTACGGCCGGATCTGGAACGGGAGCGGCGCTTGCTGCGGGACCTTGACCTGTGAACACAGTCAGAAGATTAGACCTGCAACTAACAATTATTGGGATTATAATTAATTAGTTGGCCGATTATTTCTTTGATTAAATGGATTTAAAAGCCCAATTTTCTTATCTTTTTGACAAAACACACTATTCCACATCCTGGCCAAAGATGTCCTTCAAACAAATTTGCCAACTGAATGCTATGAAAACATTGTGAATATATTTATGCTATATGCAAAAGAGCTAATAATAATATTGAATTATAAATACTTTAATGTTGACTTTTAAACCGAAATTTAACGTCCAACAACAGATCTTTCAGCAAAATGAATATTTTTGCGCTGAATATTAATCGTATTCCTCTGTAATGCGTCTGTTTGACGCGCCGGCGCTCAGTGGAGTCGGAAGTCTAACCCAGACTGTAAGGACGAGCCTTCATGCAAAATGGAAAGAGTCCCATGAATTTGTAACACTTACAGGTAAGGATATAACCAGACCTGCAAACTCCTTAGAGTAAAAAAGGTGACGGGGGGGGAGGTTATGGAGGGTGCTTGTAGTGGCAAAACTCGCCGCTCGGTAGTTGCTACAATGTTGTACATGATTGCATACGAGCCAACAACAATGTCTTAACGATGTTGTGGAGCTGCAATATGGCTTCTATATGTTGCAATATGGTTGCTAGGTAGCTTTAAACGGTTGCTAGGGTGTGGTTACAGTTACATGTTGTTCTGGATGAACACTATACTGTATATATAATTATCATAGGATTGGCAAAGGAGAAAAAAGGCAGTAAAATATAAATGAACCATGATGAGCAATACATTTGTTACTGTATTTATTATTCTTTGTTAATAAAAATACAGCTGTTCGTTGTTTGTTCATATTACTTCACAGTGCATTAGGCTAACTAATGTTAACAAATAGAACTTTTAATTGTAATAATCTTTATAAATAAATACTACTAGTAGCCTTAAGAAGTGCAGTTTATGAATAGTTAATATTAACTAGTTTGGTGTTATCGATTTGTTATACACCGATTCAGATCTCTTTTGAAGAGACAGATGTTGGACAGATCAGTTATTTTAACCATTCATAAAAGTAAATCGGTTCAAATGAGTCATTAGTTTGCGAATCGGACGTGCCATTAGCTGACACACACGGCATGCGTTGTGTGATTATCCCAGCAGATAAGGACATCGCACAAGATTTGTCTCAACTCTCAACACAGAAAAGATTTAATCACTGGATAGGTTTTTTGTTTATTGAAAATGTGGTTTATGTCAGCTGAATGTGCGGAACGCTTTTCAGAGAGGATAGGGCAATTTTAGTAGGCTGCAATTCACACCCAGCGGTAATTCAGGAAAAAAATCTCCACGTGAAACTTTGGTCTTTTGATCTTTTACTATCGTGTCAATTCTCAATAGATTTTGATTAATATGCGCGATAGAGGGAGAGCAAGGCAGTTTGAATACAGTGAGAGTGCGCGCGCGACCGGCTCTCTCTCTCACGAGCGCAGCATAACAAAGCGGTAGCTAACGTTAATTGAATCAAGCAAACAACTAGCTGTTGCTTTTGCTCCAAAAAAGCTTGATTTACCTCGAATTTCACATAAGATTCCTTCACGTTATGAGTTTCCATCAGACTCGCGTGGTAGCCAGGTGTCTCATCCAATGGCGATTCTGACGCAAGTGCTAAGATTCCGATTGGCCAAGAGAAAAAGTACTAAGACTCCGATTGGCCCAGAGAAATGTCAATTATAAGAATTATCCAATAATGTTTGGCAATCCTAGCCTGCGTGCAGATTAAGGGCATGTGGATGACTTTCATTATCATCTATTATTGTTTTTATCAATTAGTTGTTGAAGCCCTACAGAAGATAGTTAGAAAAGCAATCAGTCACTTTTTAATCGCGCAAGCAAACTCGCGCCATCTTACCGAGATCTGGAGCGGGAATGGCTTTGTGAACTCCTGCGGCTCCGGCTGCGAGAACGGCGTCTGCTACGAGACCTGGAAAATATTGTTTGATTCAAGAAATCTACAGAAGACATTTTTCAAACGCACAAGTAAATGAGATGAAGCTAAAAACTGAAGGCCTGACCTTGACCTGCTCCCCGAGTAGGAGCGCCGGCGTCTAGGCTTGTCCTCTACCAGACGTATTTTTCTTCCGTTAATATCAGTGCCATCCAACTTGTCAATAGCTCTCTTCATATCAGAGTGGGAGCGAAACTCGATCACGCCCTCATTGGTGCGTTCTTTGTGGGCGTCGGCATAGGTCACCTCTCCAGCTTGACGCATGAAGTCCTACAGGGAAGAACAAACTCATCAATTACTGACACAAAGGTTTTCTAAAGTCCCATAGTGTCAGAATTACAGTAATGACCAGAAATGAGGAAAATTTAAACATAAGGGCTGTCAACTGAATTAAACTGCACATGCTAAATAAAAAGAAAACCCTTGTGGAAAAAGTGTGCTTAATTGTATTGAATGTACTTAATTTTAAACGTATATTTAAAATAAAAATAAAATAAAAAGTACTTGGAGATAATGAAATTAAAAACACTTAAGTGCTCTTAAAGCAAATATACTCATTTTAAAGAGTGCACTTTATAATGTACTCAAGTAAAACTTAATTCGACATTTTAAATCATTGTTTTAATATTTTGTTGTGACTAAAATAAATACACTTATTTTTGACGTGTTGACTTCTAAAGCACATGTGAAATGCTTGATTCTAATTTTAACTGTAGTGGGATTCAATATTACAGTTAAAGGGGTTATATGATGCTTTTTAATGGTTTCCTTTTTCCTTTAGTGTTTAAAGTATTTGTGCAAGAATATGATCTGAAAATTGACAAAACTCAGTCTCCCAAAGGGATTTATTCCACCTAACAGAAGATCGCCTCGATCACAGTCCAGATATTATTTCCTCAAATTATTTCCATGTCATAATATAAAATATTAGCATAATGCCAGCCAAACACAGAAGCAAATAAAGACGAGGCTTTAACAGTTAATTATTATTAACTTTAACAGATTAGGTGACTTAAGGTGTTTGGCCAATCAGAGCACTGAGCTTTTCAGAAGGAGGGGCTTTGTAGGAATGAGAGCATTACTGACAGACTGGGAATAATGGTAATAAGTTAAAGCGTACAGTAGAAAACCTCACTGGTATTTGAACCAGGTACTTGAAAACGGTTCCTAAGAGGATAGCAACATTAAATTATTTAAATTCCAGCAAAGTGCTTACCTTGAGGTCCTGCCAGCTGCAGCGACTGGACAGGTTCTCCACTATCAGACGGTACTCCGTGCGAACCGGAGGTCCATATTTGTCTCTTCCGCTTCGGCTCCTGCTGCTATAACCACTACTGCCTTCAGACAAAAGCCAAAAGACAGCAGACAATCAGAACTGAATTAGACCCAATGCAAAGGGCGCACACAAGGCAACCTCTTCAGACATCAAACTGCATAAAGCATGATGTTGAGGAAAGTCTTCCTACCCCACCCCATTGAATAGTCACACCCAAATAAACGGACCTCAGCACCACATAGTTCTGAAGGGAACGCTTACTGTAGGATTATTAAAAACAAACAAAATAAATCTTGACATCTGACCGCACTGGATTTGTTCAATCAGTCCTTCTGAAAGGGCCAAAGGTCGCATTGCTGGTCTTTACCCAACAGCTCAAGAACAGCAATGCTCTGAACATGAATACCACTCCAGCGACACAAGGGCGGCACAGGTTTTAACGTGAGCCCCAATTTTAAAGACAGCAAACGAGTACATGATACCCTCACAGGGCTCCAGACTAACATTAGAGAGCAGTAGCAGCGGTGCCACTAAGATCTACAGATAGTGACGCCAGGGAGGATTGTAAATCATAAAAGCAATTTAATTAAAAAGTTACTATTGCTTTGCATTACCGAGTCCAGTTACTAGTAATATTACATGTTTATTTCTTGGAAATGATAAAGCACTGAGCCTGAGTTGAGATGCAGATAAAATGAACTTTTAACTACATCCCAAGTTTTATAGGGAAACATTTAAGTGTACCATTGTTGTTCTATAGCATCATACTGAACTGATGACAGCTTCAGTGACTATACAATGAGCGCTCTTTACTTTGTGTAATTCTTCGCAACTTGAATGCGTTTTATTTTTCATGAGACTGACTTTCGCTACTTCAGTACAAAAAGTGTCAAACTTTGAGAAATGCATTTCCTGATTTGATATTTTATAAAAGGGATTCCATTATACCTAAATATAAATTTAAAAGCAAAACGTGTGGGGAAAAATATATATGTATTAGGGAATGGAAATGGCTGATAAGCCAATAAGTGCTCCTCTGCCGACATCTACTGGTTATACTGGTAATTTCATGTCTTTATTTTTAAATAAAAGCATTTGTTTGCCATGTGTTAGTTTTCCTACATCTTGAAACTTTTAGTTTTACAAATGGGGACAATCTTTGATAGATGAACAAAATGTTTTTGGTCACTACATTGAAAATAACATTTAAACTGGATAATGTGTAGAGCTTTGAAGTGCTAGAAAAAGTGTGAAGGACTTGAAAGTCCTTGAATTTCTCTCAAAAGGTTGTACAAACCCTGAAATGAATAATGTAAAAACATTTGACTATTTCTGCCACAATACCATGGTTACAGTTAGATTTACCACATTAAATCCATGGTGAATGTTGGTGATTTGTGGAGTGAAAAGCCTTCTAACTTGTTCATGGCACAATGTCAGCGCTGTTTGATCTGATATCTTTTGGTTTATAACAGAATTCTGCACTGAATTTAAACGTTTCTCACTAGTTCTCTCAGCAATGTTATTAATTTGACTGCGAATTAAAATGCTTTCTCACGAGATCTCCCAGCTAACAGTGCTGCGGGATTGGGATCGGCGCTCGAGTGAACCTGTTCTGAGCTTTCGTTCGACGTCTCTCATATGTAACAGAAATGGCAGATTTTGAGTTGGGCAACGTGGTGGTCGCCGCACCAGTGAGACGTCTATCAAAATGTAGTCGCACCGGCAGGAAAAATGGTCGCAAAATGAAAACATTTGGTCGCAGTCTGGAGCCCTGCCCTCATGAAAACAAACAGAAGTAAAATTACAAAAATGTTTTTAAATAACCAAGACTACTTACATTAGATGCTGACGTTACCTGTCTACTGACAGAACAGCGACAGCAAAAGACACATAGCAAGGGAAGCCCATTGCTCTTTTTAATAAAGAAAGAAAAAAAATAAAAGGAAAAACTAGCGGGTAGCTACATAAATTTGTTTAACCTGACCAATATTTCGTTCAACATAAAAACCAATGGGTTTCCTCACCATCACCCTGGTCTATTGGCAAAAGGCAGCTGTCATCATGGCTTCCGGTTAGGTCAGCCAAGGGTCAAAGGGCAAAGGTCACACACACATTGTAAGGTGAAAGCCAAGGCCAAACGGGACAGGCAGTCATCTTAGCCTCAATGGACTCGGACTCAGCCCGCACCGGACTCTTTTAAATTGAAACATCAAGGACTTTTGTTAATGTTGAATTCAGATGTAAACACAAAATCGCATCGTCACACGTCATACTGTTTACATGCCAGTGAGGCTTCAGGTTGTGGCACAAAACAAAAAAACAACTCATTACTAAATCTATTAGCTAGAATAGATTTAGAGCTGGACCAATACAAAGTGGAAACAGCCCATCATCTGACATGTAAACATCTTTAGTCCCTAACTTTTTAGGATTACTCAAGTTATACTGCACATTCTCATGACCCTTGGCATTTAAAAATGGGCCAAAACTACAAAAGCAAAAGCATCTTTTAAGGGAATCCCCATTTAAAAAAAGTCATATTTCAGAACCATCTGCATTAAACAGAACATAAGATATCCCAGAAGCCTTCGATCTGGACCACAGGAACTGCAGACTTCAGAGAAATGTAGTTAGTCACTGGATGCAGGTGCAAATGCCGTCCACTGGAAATTAAAACGGTTAGGCTATTATTCACCTCCACTTTTTCCTCGTGCCTGAGGGGGAAGATAAAAAAAAGAGAACAGGTTTGTCGAGATGATGAATGAGACTGTACTTACTGCGGCCACCGCCCCCATAACCCCCACCGCCACCGCTACCGCCACCGTAGCCATCTCGGTCTCGCCGCGGTCCTCTCGCGTGCTCCACGATCACACGCTCCCCGCACAGATCTTTACCGTTCAGCTCGTACACGGCATCATCCGCGTCACGGTTGTCTTCAAACTCCACGAACCCATACCTGAAAAAAATGTAAATAACCACACTTGGGTTTAACATAAAATATTGAATATTGATTTTTTTGTGATTTTTTATTAAACATTTTATGTGTGTTACTATTTACAACAAAGCCCAAGATCCACCAACAACCATACGACTAAATAAAAATGACACGAAATTAAAATAAAACTGTAGAGATGGGCGATATATTATCGTTTGCGATATACCGGTAAAATTTTTCCGCCTATGACGGGACCCATTCGCAGCTCACGCGCATGGCGGAAGGCGGACGTGAAGTTTATCGCTAAACGAGTAACTACCTCTACAATCTGGAACTGGTACACAGATAGATTTTCACCCGCCCATCTCGTCGAACACTGCCTGAGCGCTTGAGAGTTTCGCTCTCCGTCAAGTGATCCGTAAAGCCCACTATATCAGTTCATCTCAATGAATACACAGTGTATTTGACGCGCAGTAAACACTAGAGTGAGCCGCACGACTTGCTGTCACTTTGCTGAGAGCGCTTAGTGTTTCTCACACACTCGATGAGAGAGAGAGTCTTAAGGCCTCGTTCACACTGCAGGGGCTTAATGCTCAATTCCAACTTTTTGAAAAAAAATCGATTTTTTTGCAAGGCCTTTCACATTTCCAATTAAATGCGACCTTTTGTGATCTCCTGTGTGAACGTGACATGACCCAGAAATGACCCGCATGCGCAGAAGAGTACTCAACGGTCAACGACGTCACTTGTTGTTTGCGGAAGTAGCTAAACATGGATGTCAGCAGTGGAGCTCGTTTAGTGATATTGAGGTTATTTTCCCAACAGAGCCAGCACATTTACAATCTTCTAGTTTTAAGAAAAAAATTAAAAAGGAGGAGAGCAAGGTTTTTGGCCATGGCGTTTTGTGGAGCAGTGGTAGCAACGTCGGTACAGAGAAACGCGTGGGTGCGGAGTCGCAGCCAGGAGTGGTGGGATACTGATGTGAGTGGCTTCACAAATACAGAATTCATCAGTAACTTTCGGATGTCCAGATCCACTTTCGATTATATTTGTGAGCGTCTTCGATCAACTCTGTCGCGGGAAGAGACACGTCTGCGGCGGCCCATAACAGTGCAGAAACGCGTTGGAGTTGGAGTGTATTGGCTAGCTACAGGTGCGTGCTATTGTTTATCTTCTCATTCCCGCCTACATCAACGCAGAATTATGACGTTTGTCGCATATCAATGACGTGCGGGTCGGATACATGCGACCTGGCCGTTCAGATTGAAGTCTCATTTCAAAAGATCGGATACATATCGGATTTGGACCACATACCCAAGGGGCCTGGGTCGCATTTGAAAAGATCGGATCTGTGTCGTTCAGACTGTCATGAAAAGATCAGATACAGATCGCATAGGGGCAAAAAATTGGGTCGTTTCAGCCTGCAGTGTGAACGTAGCCTTACATACCACGCAGAATTGAAGTGTACATAACGTCTACATGTAAATGTATATTATTTGTTGTATTTTCCTGTAAAAATAATGGAGTTCATTTGGAATTATTCTGCTTTTATGAGCAAGCAGAAACTAATGCGCCAACACAGACGTTATAACAAACCCAGCAGCTCATCAATCCCTAGTGCGGTTTATATTGTTAATAGTATCAGAATTCATTCGTAGTAGTATTAGTATAACTATTCGTTGTTCGTTTTGAATGATTTGAATTATTACTGTGATGTTTTTCAGTAGAGTTGCACTATTTAAACATTATCTGCACTTTTACAGAAGAATATGCAACTTTTCCATTTCTGCAAGGGATGGTGTTTGGATTTTTACTGTTTTTTAAATTATTTTATGTACGGTAATTGGTATTTTATAGGAGCCTATTTGATGAAGGGTACATTTTACTTTGCATGCAGCTATCACTTGTAGCCAAAAACAGTGGTGAATATGGTATTATATTTATATCGTCATTGATATCGTTAGGGCTGCAACTAACGATTATTTTGATAATCGATTAATCGGACGATTATTTATTCGATTAATCGGATAAAAATTTCAATTCGATTTTTTTGTTTATTATGACTAAATAAAACCCGGTTACACTTTATTTTAAGGTGTCCTTGTTACAGTGTAATTATATATTTAAGTACAGAGTAATATTAAGTAACTACATGTACTTACTATAGGAATAGGGTAGGATTAGGTTGAGGGTTAGTTGCATGTAATTATGCAGAATTTACTGTTATTACTACAGTAAGTACATGTAACAAATGTAACAAGGACACCGTAAAATAAAGTGTTACCTAAAACCCTAAATTAGGGTATTTATGTGTAAAAGTGTACTTTAAAAAGTGCAAAAGCCACACATTGAGTTTTACAAATATCAATATTTGCATTGTTTTTAATGATAATTGCTGATGGCAAGTTGAAAACCATGATTAATGTAAAAAAAAAAACATTTATATCCAACATATTGTTTTAACACAATTTTTGTTAAAACAAATTTACAGACATGTTGTTCAGATGTGAAGATATAAACTAAAAACATCTCAAATATATAATTCATTTAATTTTTATTTAAAATTAATTGAATTATAAGGATAATTTGTAAAAATAAATATAGAAAGACTGAAAACAAGCGTGTGAACATATAGCCGCAGTAGATCGCGTTTGAAAAACAATTAAAACTTAATAGTAGACAAATGCTATAAAAAGACAGCGGAATGGAGGTACGCAGCAAGCTAACAGGCTTGATTAAAAAGACAGGAAAAATGATGCATTAGTGCACAAACATTCGCTGAAAACCACCGAGTAGGCTACAGTGACTAAAAAACAATATTTTACTGTTGCTGTTATTAACTGCCTTTATATTTAGTGCTTCGCTTTGTAAAGACTGTTTTAATTTAATATATCTGCGGTAGCACTATTTTAATCCATCACTTATGTTGCGAGCAAACTGATTGCGCAACCTGATGCTCGAGACGCAAAATACAGACATCCCAAGTCTCCCGGAAGTTCTGGGAGTCACCCGCATATTGATATGCTCCCTGATGCTCGCAAATTAGTTCAAACTCCCGGGATTTGAGCGCGCAAGCAAGAGCGCGCATGCGAGACAGAAGAGACTGTGCTCCAAACCGTGTAGCGCGAGCGCGGGGCAGAGCAACGGAGGGAGAGAGACCTTGCGTGTGTGTGCCCAAGGGGGTAATCCATCGACCGGAAGTTGAAGCCGGCCGGGTGCCGCCATGTTGTAGCAGAACTTCACTTGCGTTAGCATTTCCATTGACTCCCATTCATTTTGGCGTCACTTTGACAGCGAATAACTTTACATCTGAGGCGTTTAAAGACTCCATTTGTCCATTATTTATTTCTAAAGAAACACGACAATGTATAAAGGGCTCCATTACCTTCTATGTTACACTATGGCCCCGTAGAAACAGTTTTAGTAAAAATAGGCTAACGATTGCGTCATAACCACTCGACTCTCTGTCGCGCTGTACAGAAATTACCGTACAGACAGGAGGAGAAGCTCGCAGGCAATCGGCGGGACGTCCCGTCAAGGGAGAAGCCCATAGATAATGAGTCCATAAAAGCAACGGAATACTTACTCCTGCTCACTCACGATAAAGGACTCTTTGCTCAAGTTCCCCGTCTCTGCAAGATTAACGTTGGCAATTTTCACGCACAGCTACTAGAAGATTAACGTCTGTCAGACAGGTTGCTCACGTCATCAAGCTTAGTTTGAGTCGGTTTGAGTCTGCGCGTCAGGAACGGAAGTGCTCAAAAATCGCTAAAAATGGGCTTCAACTGTCTCAACTGAGTTCCAATGAGATGGCTCTGTCCATTTCTTATACTGTCTATGTGTGTGCCTCATGAAGCGCGTGTAAGACAGAGAGCATCCTGATTGGCCCGTTTCAAACAATCACCAGTAAACGCTCCCCGTGACGCAAGCAGACCAACTAATCGATAATGACATTCGTTGACAACGATTTTCATAATCGATTATTATCGATTTTATCGATTAGTTGTTGCAGCCCTAGATATCGTTATCGCAATAAATGCCAGAAAATATTGTGATATATTTTTAAGTCCATATCGCCCATCCCTACGCTGAACACTGTTAGAGGAAACTCCAGAGTAGAAGCCTAATAAGCAGAACGTACAAGTAGTCCATTCTTTATTTTTTTATGGAATATTGCAGTATTTTATCAATGATTTATCTGTATTTTTCCTTATATTCTATGGTCAAAATAACTTCCCCTCCCTCTTGCAGCAACATCAATTTTCTTCTCCGATGACACGTTTACTGGCGCGAGGGCGGGGCAACTTGTTACGCATGAGATCCACCAATAAGCAAACAACAACCAAAGCCCCTTTCAGGCTACAACCATCCAATCAGTTCACTCAACGTCACAAAAGGGCAGAAAAGACTAGAAAAATTTCATGTTTCAGGCTCACTTTACGGGGACAATATAGTATTGAGGGTACCATCAATCAATGTCCACAAAAAGGCAATGTTAGGAATCAATGGAAAAATTACTTCACAACAGTATATTAACTATTTAAAAACAAGTGTGAAGAAATGAGTGCAACAATCAGGTTACGGACTGAAGTAAAAATCTCATTAATTTTCTCCATGAGGATATTGATTTTTAACGGTATTATAAACGATAAATTATGGCATATGCTTTTGTTGAAGCTGTCATGAGGCAGCCCATTTTGACAAGTTGTGCTCGGGGCCAGACCTTCTTTATGTGCATTTATAAATACATACACTAAAGTGTGGGAGAACTAATGCGCGCGACACACAAACAACGGCGCGCCGCAGTAACGTTATGAATCCAGGTCATCAAATTCAGCACCATTAAATTTCAGCACTCTAACGTTACATACTAACTTCAGTTGATATTTTCTTACAAGCGATCATTTACTTATTGTGCTTCAGAATCGAGGCACAATGTAAAATCGTATATACTTTAATCATCTGCTGTATAAAAGTGGTTCACGCGCTGTGGACAACAAATGTCCGCCATTTTGAGCACGCGATGAGAGCCGCTGTCAGACGGATTAAATCAACAAGACACCACATTAAGCATTTGAATTGTCACTTAAATTCAATATCGCAAGCATTACGAGGCATTTAATGTCCACAAATGCATTGAAGATGTAAAGTTGGTATCGTTATGAGGCCATTGTTGTCAAGGCCGCGGCGCGCTCCACAACCTTAACTTACCCGTTCTTCAGATCGATCTCCAAAAGCTTCCCGTACCCGCTGAAAAACCTCTGTATATCTTTCTCCCGCACATGATAGCTCAGCCTGCCGACGTACACTCGCGGCATGGTTAATGTTTAGTAAATATCAAACGTACGAAACCCTGTAGCTTTAATCGCTATCGTTCTCTTCGGAATGGCCACCTAGCGGTTATAGCGGTCACGTTACCGACGTCACTTCCGGCGTCTCCTCGCGCATGTTTTTTTGGTTGCGCTAGAGACCATAGACATAAATACATATATTTATTATGTCTATGCTAAAGACTATAGTAACTGTTAATACATGACGAATGTACTACTACACAACCTCAGATTGTTTAGTTTAATAATAAATGATAAATAATTACATTTCTTGTTTACACTTAAAAAGTGTCCACATTCACAACTTGCAGTGTATGAGTTTGTGTCATTTAAGACTTCAAGAGTTGTTAATTAAACAGCAAAGGTAACTTAACCCCATTGTTCATTACACTTCATTAGCAAAGACATGTCTTCAACATTTTGAATAGGGTTAGCCTAAATAGACAATTTAACACAAGGGACAAAAAAGCAAGTTAAAAAAAGTGCTGTTATGCCATATTCTACAGAACCAACTGCAATCTTGAAATTGATTGTGCATTGTAATTATGTTGTATTATTAATGTTTTTTACAGTCTATGGTTGTAATATGACAAATAATACATTTTTAAAAAGTCAGCTTGGCAACCATCATAAGGCATCTCAATAATTCAATACTATTTAAGAGTATATTTTCAATCCTCTATAGTTTACTCGGAGAAACTGCCTTGACTCGTATCACTCCCTCTTGGGCACAAGAAGCTGCGAGAACACCGTCCTGTCTCCACAAACGGCCCTGGACGAAGCCTCTGCTGCCGCCTGATGGGAAATACAGGTGTATTGGACCAATGCATTAACATATTAATAGTGTTTATTATCATCATATACTCATCACTAGCTGTTTCCATGCAAAGTAGCAATTTTAACTTATGCACAAAATTGGAATATCGCGTAAAACATTTGCGAATCAAACAACATGCGTTCAAGAGACCAAAATCGTCACTTCCTAGCACAAAATATCTGTAATAAAATGGAAGTTGCTGCATTCGGGTTATTTTTCCCTCCATCATAAATGAGTTAGTCTCAGAGCGTCTCACGAAACACAATAAACGCTGTCATGTTTGTTCTCTTGCGTTCGGATGCTGGTGTTCGGGAACACAATCCTGTGAGACGCTTCTGGAGGGAATTAAACCAAATCATTCTGATGACAGACTTTGACTCCGGCGTTTTAGAACCTCCAAACCAACATTTGAGATGCTGTGATGTGATTGGTCCGCTGGTTATTCCAGTTATCCAATCACAGCCTCTGCTGAGGCAAAGTCGCATGAGGTTTTTGTTGTGCATCAAGGGATTTATTCAGTAAATGTGTTTCCATCGTAGTTTATGCACGTCTTCTTATAGGATAAAACAATTATACGACCTCAATTGAGTGCATTATTTTGTAGAATTTAAAGTCCCCCTGTAGTCAATAATTGTATTCCTTAAAACTCATCTTTGATCACCAAAATGACATATGTAAAAGTTTTTTTTTTCCTTAGAAAAATGTCTTCATGCCTTAAAATAGCTTGAATGTAACTCGACACCATTGCCTCATTTAGTAAGCGCGGTTCTATGAATATGCAAATTAGCCCCGCCTCCACTCACTCACTCAGCTCAGAGATCCACTGGTTGACGATCACACGTTGATCTGATTGGTTACAAGGTCGTTTGTGACGTCAGAAACACCAGCGATTTCAAACCGTGTTTTTGAGACTGTCTTTGGTTCACTGCAGTTTTAAGCAGAAAATACTCAGCAATGCTGTCGACTTATGAATTTACACATGGTTTGTCTTAAAGCATATTAAAAACACCACATAGACATATAAACAACATTAAAAGCTGGATTTTTACAACAGGGGGACTTAAAAACATATGTTGTCGTTTCTATTCAGCATGTTTTTGTGCGATATCCCAAAACTCACATTAAAAATCTCGGATGGAATCATGCGGTACATTACTAATGAACCACATGAACATGCAAGAATGGATGGAAGCTGCTGACCTGACCATGGGCTTTCGCATTCATAGAGCATCCACTCGTCTGCTCTGAATGTGCTGTGAAACCACATGGCGTGATCCAGAGAGGCGGAAAACTGGGCCCTGTGATTTGGGTACGGTAACAGTGCCGTCCCCAGGAAAGCGTAGTCCGATACATACGCTGCCACACAACAGTGCAGTTTCATGTCACCAGGTCCTAAAACACAACACATACAATATTCAGAAATATTAAACAAGTACAGTCAATATCCAAAATTAACACAACAGTTTTTAACTTACGATAATGACTGTACATTGCTTAATATATATGACTTAAAAAAATAGAACTGATCTGAGTTGAATTTAACAACAATATCTGACTCCTACAGAATGACAACTGACTAATGAATTTCCATAACTTTTTTTTTATTAACCTTTGAAATTATTAGTTAAGGATTTAAAAAAAATTTTTTTACAGAGATTCCAATCGCAATAATGTAACAAATAATATCTTAGAGCACAGTGTCACTAACATGTATATTCACAGTAGGATTTTTCAGGACTTGAAGATTTCTATAAAGATTTTTTACTAAATTCTGTGACTTGTCCAGTCTAAAAAAAACCTTGTGAAAAAGAAGTGTGCTTAACTGTGCAAATTACATCTTAAAAGTATATATATTTTTCAAAAACTCCTTGCAGATTATATTAATATAAAAATTCTTAACACATTTAAAAGTTTTACTTTAAAGTTAATTTTTAATCATGTTTTAATCAACACTTATTTTGATGTGTTGACTAACATACTTTTAATTGATATTACCTTTAATGGTTAATTTACTTAAAATATTCTAAATTGCAGTTTGCAAATATATTTAAATACATGAGATATTTTAGTTTATTATAACTGCTTGTCAGCAGCACACTTTACCACATTTCAAAGACAATAAAAGTAATAATGAAATAACACATATATAGACGTACTTAAGAGGGTCAAAAAAGCACTCAACTAATTGCAATTGCATTAACACTACAATACATTTTCAATTAATTGTAAATAAAAATTAAATTTAATGCCCAAAACATTACATCCAGTTTGCATTTGAGTTTATTCTCTTGAAATATATAATTTCCATAATAAATATTCTTTTTAGAATAAGTATGCTAAAGTGGACCTCTTTTTCACAAGGGAATTTTTCCAGGTTTTTCTTGACTTTTTAAATTATATAAATTAGAAATTAATAAGAGGTTCATAGAGCTGAAAAGAAGAATAATCTTGCAATTTTAATTTTAACCTCAGCTAATTTTATAGCACATTAATTACATTAATCACATACTGTATACTCACCTAAAGGATTATTAGGAACACCTGTTCAATTTCTCATTAATGCAATTATCTAATCCAGTGGTTCCCAAACTGTGGTCCGCGGACCACTAGTGGTCCGTGAGGGTACTGCAGGTGGTCCGTGGAAAGGCAAAATAAAATACAAAATAATATTTTTTTACCTTCATTTTACCAGGAAATTCCCATAAAAAAGTAAAAAGAATAGGCTATGTAGGCCTATATTGATATAAAATTTTAATTAAATTGTCAAGTTATTGTGTGATTACTAAAATAGGCTAGTGGCCTATTTCGGTGGATAGCAACAGGTTCTCTGAAGAGAAAAGAGGCAGAGGCAAATATTTTGACATTATATTAAATATTTGTCTGATTATAATTTCACCAACAATAATTCTGGATTGCCTCCACCAAACAAGTAAATAAGAAATAAGCAAATCAGAACACTGCTCGCCAAAACAGCAGTATGCGCGCAAGTGTGAACCATAGTGTTTCTTGCTGTATCTTTTACTGGGGTCTCCAACACGTCGCTCGCGAGCTACCAGTATCTCGTGGCCTGATTGGAGGTAGCTCGTCAAGGGCTACATATCGTGTCGTTTGCGCTCTCAAGTTCGTTATTTCATGTAGGCGCACGGCAAGCGCGCTCATCTTTCCAGGCGCAGCGAGATGAAAACACCTCAACTTTTCATAATGCCGCAAACGCACCGCCGTTCATGTGACAAGAACAAACCAATCAGCTTCATCCTTTCCGTAAACATTGAAAGCTCAGTCAACATGAACAATGGGGGGGGCACCGGCTGCACCCAAACACTACTGGTGTTTTTCTCTTCTCCGTAAATAAATCTTGTAGCAGAGCTACAGCAAGCGTTTTTCGATGGTGTAAATCTATTAGCTACTAAAACTTCTTTGTCGTTGTGGAGAGCGCAGTGCATGGTTGCATAGCAACGACAGACAGCACGGGAAATCGGACCGAATTTTATTTTTAATAATAAAAGATTGCTAATGTGCATCAATGTAAATGGCAAGTAATTTATCTTTTTTTTTACTCATTCTTTTTATAAATATGATTTAAAGGCTGAAATATGTGAGGTTTATCTTTTTATAAAACCTTTTTTGTGAAAAATTATTTAAAGGCTGAAATATGTGAGGTTTATCTTTTTATAAAACATTTTTTGACAAAACTTTATTTGAATTTCATTTTACTATATGTGCCTATAGGGGTGGCAGGGGTTGGCGGCAATGTAAGTATCTGGATATTTGCCGCGGGGCGAGGTCTTCGATTACCTCTCTCTTTTTTGACCATACATGTTTGCATCCCTGAAATGAACCCGATTATGCCCTCGGGCGCTTGAGTAAATAAATAAATTAAATATGTGGCAGCCGTTGTGTGCAGTAAACGTTCTTTTAACAAGCTGTTGTACTGATGTGATGACCAGTTATAGTTTTAGTGCTAGTAAGCCTATTTAGAGGTGTGGATTAATTCAGGTAGGACTGTGTGTAGACATATTTTATTATGTGTATTATGAGGTGGTCCGCGAAAATTCTTGATTACAAATAGTGGTCAACACACACAAAAAGTTTAAAAAACCCCTGATCTAATCAACCAATCACATGGCAGTTGCTTCAATGCATTTAGGGGTGTGGTCCTGGTCAAGACAATCTCCTGAACTCCAAACTGAGGCTATGTTTACATGAAAACGATCTGAAGAGAAAACGCAAAAGTGGCGTTGCGTTAT